TCAGACAATCAAAATAGCTGCCATAGAAACGTGGGAAAATGCAGCGCAAAGTTGACACAGCTTCATTGTTAATAACTACAAGGGTATTTAACATTCAGCTGTTTGACTGCAATAGAAACTAGGGTTGTTAATAATATATCAAAATATCAATATATCGACATTTTTTCCTGAAAATGATATATTTATATCGTGATTTTTTATTTGCCCAAATATCGGAATTGCGACATTTTTTTTTGTTATTATACCCGTTACTCGTAGAGTAAAAGGGTATATTGTATTCGTGCAAAAGTATGTAACAGCTAGAAGGAAGCGTTTCCGACCCTATAAAGTATATATATTCTTGATCAGGGTCACTAGCCGAGTCGATATAGCCATGTCCGTCTGTCCGTCTGTCTGTCCGTCTGTCTGTCCGTCCGTATGAACGCTGAGATCTCGGAAACTATAAAAGCTAGAAGATTGGCATTTTGCATGCAGATTCTAGGAGTTCCTACGCAGCGCAAGTTTGTTTCAAAAAGGTGCCACGCCCCCTTTAACGCCCACAATCGCTTGTATACGATTTTAAAAATTTAAATATTTCGGAAAAGTAAAAATGCAGTTTTATTTTTTTTTTATACCTATCGAAATGTAGAAGAAATTTTTCAAATCGGACCATTCGTTAAAAAGTTATGCGTGATCAAAGTTTCTATCTCCATCTCCCTCGCACTCCCTTTACCTGAGTAACGGGTATCTGATAGTCGGGGCACCCGACTATAGCGTTCTCTCTTGTTATACCCTTGCAGAGGGTATTATAATTTTGGTCAAAAGTGTGCAACGCAGTGAAGGAGACATCTCCGACCATATAAAGTATATATATTCTTGATCAGGATCACCTCCTGAGTTGATATAGCCATGTCCGTCTGTCCGTCTGTCCGTCTGTCCGTCTGTCCGTCTGTCTGTCCGTCTGTCTGTTTCTACGCAAACTAGTCTCTCAGTTTTAAAGCTATCGAATTGAAACTTTGCACACACCCTTCTTTCCTTTGCACGCAGTATATAAGTCGGAACGGCCGGGATCGGCCGACTATATCATATAGCTGCCATATAACTGAACGATCGGAAATGCCATAACTTTGGTGTTTTTAAAGTTAGGAAGTTGGGATTTTCTATGAGTTTTACATTTGGCCAATCAATTTGACGTACCAAATTTTATAAGGATCGGCCGACTATATAGTATAGCTGCCATATAACTGAACGATCGGAAATGCCACAACTTTGGTGTTTGTAAAGTTAGGAAGTTGGGATTTTCTATGTGTTTTGTATTTGGCCAATCAATTTGACGTACCAAATTTTATAAGGATCGGCCGACTATATCCTATAGCTGCCATATAACTGATTGATCGGAAATGCCATAACTTTGGTGTTTGTAAAGTTAGGAAGTTGGGATTTTCTATGGGTTTTATTTTTGGCCAATCAATCCGACCTACCAAACTTCATAAGGATCGACCGACTATATCCTATAGCTGCCATATAACTGATTGATCGGAAATGCCATAACTTTGGTGTTTTTAAAGTTACGAAGTTGGGATTTTTTATGAGTATTAACAATGCATCATATGAATAATTTTGGAAAATATAATTTACAGAGTATTCTGCAAGGGTATATCAACTTCGGCTCCGCCCGAAGTTAGCTTTCCTTTCTTGTTTTTTGATATTTTTGTCTTTGGTCACTCTGAATTCCAAAGCGACATCGAGTGAAAGAATTCAGGCACGAAATAAAAAATTGAGTGTAAAATCAAACTATACGGATAAAAAAAACGGCGTCCCCCATCAAATGTGTTGTGTACGACTCAAGAAGCAGGATGACTGACGCACACATAACGCAAAGGGTATTATTAAAATCCCTAAACCCTGCATACTGGTCATAAAATATATATAATAAAATACTATTGTTTTTAAAAAGAAACTTATTGTATTTTTATTGTGAGCGGTCAATTTTTTCATTTAAAACAAAAAATAACAAATATATCGAAATTTTTATCGTTTTATCGTCGATACGATATTTTTAAAATGTTCGACAACCCTAATAGAAACGATGGCAAAATGCATCGCAAAATATAAGCTTAGAAATCGAAATCTAGTCGTTTTGTAATAACTGCAAGTGTATATAAAGTTCGGTTTGCCGAAGTTTGCTTCCTTCATGGTTATGTATGTATTTCGCAAAGCACCTTAATCTCCTTGTAGACAGAACTGACTCCCATCAGTTAAAATAGGCATGACGTATGTCATTAGACGTTTTTATGTAAGACTCGGCTCTGTCAATAAATCAATAAATGCCGTCCTTTGTCGTCATTTCCCTTGTGTATTCGTTGGTCCGTGTGCATATTGCGCAATCACTTCGCTAAATTTATGTGTGTGTTTGCTGTTGTTTGCGGCGATTACTGCGTTTTAATGTCCCAATAGAATAATAATAAATATAACAAGAAAGGAAAGCTAACTTCGGTCGGAGCCGAAGTTGAAATACTCTTGCAGAATATTCTGTAAATTATATTCTCCAAAATTATCTATATGATGCATTCTTAACACTCATAAAAATCCCAACTTCCTAACTTAAAAAAACAAAAAGTTATGGCATATCCAATCGTTCAGTTATATGGCAGCTGTAGGATATAGTCGGCCGATCCTTATGAAATTTGGTAAGTCGAATTGATTGGCCAAATATAAAACTCATAGAAAATCCCAACTTTCTAACTTTAGAAACACCAAAGTTATGGCATTTCCGATCAATCAATTATATGGCGGCTATAGGATATAGTCGGCCGATCCTTATGAAATTTGGTAGGGCGGACTAATTGTCCAAATATAAAACCCATAGAAAATTCCAACTTCCTAACTTTACAAACATCAATGTTATGGCATTTCAGATCAATCAGTTATATGGCAGCTATAGGCTATAGTCGGCCGATCCCGGCCGTTCCGACTTATATACTGCGAGCAAAGGAAAGAAGGGTGTGTGCAAAGTTTCAATTCGATATCCTTAAAACTGAGAGACTAGTTCGCGTAGAAACAGACAGACGGACAGACGGACGGACGGACATGCTTATATCAACTCAGGAGGTGATCCTGATCAAGTATATATATACTTTATAGGGTCGGAGATGTCTCCTTCACTGCGTTGCACACTTTTGACCAAAATTATAATACCCTCTGCAAGGGTATAAAAATCAGTGCGTTTTTTAAACAAGCGTGTAATATAGACATTATACGAATTTAAAGCGTCAAAAACGTCCTGTGTTGTAGTATGTAGTTGTGCTGCTAAAATTAAATTCCAACTCCATGAACAGACGGTGACTCACCGCTTGCCGGCTGACTGGCGCCACAGCCGATGCACAAAAAGAAAAATCCTTTATTGCCAACTCTTTTCTTGACGATTTTTATGTATATTCCACGTCGTTCCGAAAAAAAGCTAACGTGCTACATAAAATAATATGAGGTGTGTAACAAACGAGTGAGATTAAATCATATACTTATAATCTTATAATCATTTTCATAGTTGCTTTCATTTCATTTCTCCCAAAATATGACTATCGAAAATTATATATATTGATCTAGTCAAAATACAAATTTTAAGTTATTTAATTATATGTTACGAAATGACATATTATAACCCGAAGGTTAAATACCCTTGCAGTTATTACAAAACGACTAAATTTCGATTTTGCGCTGAATTTTGCCATCGTTTTTATGGCAGCTATATGATATGGTTGTCCGATTTTGACCAAACTAAAAACGTAGTTTGATATAGTAAATAATTTCTATATCTCAAAGGAACATTTTGAGAAATAAACAAGAAAGAAAAGCTAGCTTCGGGCAGAGCCGAAGTTGATAACCCTTGCAGAATATTCTGTAAATTATATTCTCCAAAACTATTCATATGATGCATTCTTAATACTCATAAAACTCCCAACTTCCTTACTTTAAAAACACCAACGTTATGCCATTTCCAATCAGTCAGTTATAAGGCAGCTGTAGGATATAGTCGGCCGATCCTTGTGAAATTTGGTAGGTCGAATTGATTGGCCAAAAATAAAAACACATAGAAAATCGTAACTTCCTAACTTAACAAATACCAAAGTAATGGCATTTCCGATTAATCAGTTGTATGGCAGCTATACGATATAGTCGACCGATCCCGGCCGTTCCGACTTATATACTGCGCGCAAAGAAAGAAGGGTGTGTGCAAAATTTCAATTCGATATCTTTAAAACTGAGAGACTAGTTTGCGTAGAAACAGACAGACGGACAGACCGACAAGCTTATATCAACTGAGGAGGCGATACTGATCAAGAATATATGTATATACTTTATAGGGTCGGAGATGTCTCCATCATTGCGTTGCAAATGAAATTATAATACCCCCAAGGGTATAAGAAGGGAGAGCTAAAAATAGTTGCACCGACTTGGCAGCACTGAACTTTGTTTTTATTTGTATTAATTTATCGATATATACTCTGAAATTCAAAAAAATATATATTTTCAAATCCCCGTCGATTTGGATATTGGTAGTTAGAAAATTTAATACTTTGAAACTTCAATAAGACAAAACTAAAACTTAAGAAAGGCAAAACTAAATATATTAGGGTAACACCATAAATATGCATACATTTGAGTTTTAAAGTTAAAAAGCCAAAACACAAAAGCTGAAAACAAAATAAATAATTTGCATTTCTTATGGAATTATTTTGAAACCTAAAAGGTGTTTTCGCAATATTCGCAATAGATTATGTCAGTAAAAACTGTTTTGTCCCAAAAAATCTTTTAGGAAGGGGACGTGGCCCAATGGTCGAAATGTGTTTCCGAGACAGACGGACCTACCTAGACCTAATCTACTTTTGATAATAAAAGTAGTTCAGAATTTAATTTAAGGTTAATTTGTTCCTGTTTGACGAGTACGAGTATTTCCATTCAATACACTAAAAACCACTTTCAGATTTTTTGGTCAGACTGTTACCAGCATTAATTCTTACCCGCTGGCAGAATTCCGGGTGCTCGGCACGTGTGGCAGAAGCACTGCATAACGGAGTCGCGTACTAATCCAATTAGCATGATGAGCTCTAGTTCCTTTCACACAAGTAAAGAACTGGATGTGCGCTGCTGGGATATGTGTGGACTTCTACTACCGGTGTATTTTATTACGGGTCGTGCTCGCTTTTTTGGGCAGCACAAAAAATCAATTTATTTTCACAGCGATTTCGATTTTTTACAAGAGGGAGAGCAACCACTTGAAGATGGGCCGAACTTCAGTTTCAATATTAAACTGTTAAGCAACTGAGCAGTTCTGCTGAAAAGTGTGCTGTGAATTTCGTATTTGATATTCGCGACGTTGATTTTCTTGTTATTGTTGCTGCGGCTTTAAGTGGAATCCTTTGAAAACGACGGAACGAGGCAACGAAACGTAACGAGCACAGCGAAAGACAAAGACCAACTAAATTATGCCGAAGTTAATTTTTCAGCAGCAGGCGAATGACTGGCGACCAGTTTTTGCTGGCGCCGGAGTGTCGTCGAAGTCGGAGTTGGCGTCGGCGTCGTGGGGAGGCAAGGACAATGCACAAAAGGACATACCCCATTTACGGCCCGGCGGGGGCGGTGCCAGCACCCCCAAGTCAGAGGCGTAAAACAGCTAGAAGAGAGCCGAAGAGCGGCCAAGAGAGTGTGAACGAGCACAGTCTGTTTGTGGGGGTTGTATTTGATATTTGGCGAGAAGTAATAATGCAAATTTTTTGCTTTACTGAGATGAATACTAATCTTAAATTTCCTGCGTTTTAAAAAATGCACTTTATCATTAAATTGCTGGGCCTATTCCTAACTTTCGAAATTGCGAAATAGCCAACTTCGAAAATCGAAGCCTGCGCAGTAAAGAAAATCGGGAGGAGGTTGAACTGAGAGCAATCGATTGGGAGAGCGGAAGTGCATTCGGAAAACCAATTCGAACTTTAGGCCAAGCCAATAATGCACCGACACCAGTTTATTTTTATAAATTCTGGCGATATTTAATGTATGAATTATACAATATTTTTTATCAAAAACCTCAATAATATTGCATTTATTTTGAATATGTCCCACAGTTTTCTCGGATCATTACCGCCTAATAACAGAATCTGAAGTAATATCAAAACGAAAAGTAAAAACCTATGTATATATGCTTAGGAAATACCTTTAATAAATAAAAGATGTTCTTGCCAATTTTAATCCTGACTACGAATTTTGTATTTTTTGTCTAGTTTTACTGTCTAAAATTCAAGAAATTAAATGGATTTCAAATGTTATTGAGAAAATAAAAATAAAGCGGTGTAAATTAAAATTTTTTAAGGCTTGAAATGGCATCGCAATCGAATAACGATATCGAAAATCGATGCCTTTAAATTACACAACAAATGTCGAAAATATACGGGAATTGGCAAAGCGGTGTCGATAGCAGAGAGTACGAAGAAAAGCGAGAAAACAACTATCTTAGAACAATAAATAAAACAGCGATGACTCAAAAAGCAGCCAAATGCGAAGAGTGGTGACGAGTCAGATTTTGTTCGTCGACTGCACTATGGGCAAAAAGTACATTTTTTTGCCAAATATCGAAAAAAGTGAGCAGAATTTAAATTGAAGGTGATACATAATAGTTTCGATTTAAATTGAAAATGAAAACACTCTTTCTTAAAATAACTTGTTTAAAAGTACGTGTAAGTCCGTTGAGCAAAATTTTCTCCAAAACAAGAAAGGAAAGCTAACTTCGGGCGGAGCCGTAGTTAATATACTCTGCAAGGGTATACAAATGTAGAGCAGCCCATTTAATATTGGTTGTTCAAATTATTGTAGACAACCCCTTTTCCACTTAAATTTGGTTTGTCAAGACCTAAAATTTCCCGTTTGGACATTGACGCACCATGATCAGTACAATAAAATGGCCCTTACGACACCAAGCTTGTTACCGGCAGACCCCTATCTACTTGGGTCCTATGGTTAATATAGAGACAGACTGTTTAACTACTATCGCTTTTAAATTCTTTTACTAATACCCATTTTGTGTTAAATACATTCAGAGAACTCAAAAATTTGTTTTCTAGCGACTCAGAAGCTTGTGAATATTCACATTACCATGAGTAAGTTTATGAATTAAAGTAGAACGTTTGGCTAGAAATGGAAGGTTAATATAAACAAGGATAAGAAAACATAGTCGTTTGCCGCTCGGGATCCCAATAAAAACAGACAACCACTAAACCAAGAAAAAAACGAAATTTACATTTTTAAAAATTATCTCTTCAGAGAGTTCAAGTGCACCGGAAAACCAAGCATTCGTTTCTGGAGTAAATTGTCTATATAATTTTTAAAGCTGGTACTACGGGTTTCGGTATTTTAAAGTAGGTGTGGTTGATTGTAGCAGTCTTCCTATACACAGAGAAAATCATTAATCAGTTATTTTTTCATAACTACTTCTCCACTTGAGGCATACCAATTTGATATTTTTCTAAAAAAAAAAAAGAAAATAAAATTATAACTTCGTTGTTTTTTCACATATACTCTGGTGTTGGACGGTACGGTTATACTGTTATACAAATTGGGTAGACAAATCATTTAACTGTCATACCGACGATGGAAAAATGTATCGGAAAATCGACCAGCTTAATTGTTTTAAGGGGGGGTATAGTATTTAAATTTTTTTGTTGTGGACTTTTTTTAAATTTTTTTCTGAATGCACAACATTTCGAGATGTTGTGAAATGTCGATCCAAATAAAACTTCCGAACAATTAAACGTAGGTAAGTAAGGGCGTTTTATATGCAATTTTTTGGGTGTCCCAAACTTTAAAACGGTCTCCTGAAAAGTTGTCATTTCAAAGTCGGTGTACACGATCCTGCAAAATCTATCGAACGGATCGTTTTGAGATTTTGCACAGTATTTCTCTACCAGATTCCTCAGGTAACGCTGTCGAGCTTCTTTTTTTTTGAAAATGTATTATTTTTAGAGCAACAAATAACTCGATGTTTTGGGCGAAAATCGGGGTTTTTGACTTTCAAGTGCCTTACAAAATTTAAAAAAAAATGTAAAAAAAATAAAAACTCGACAGCGTTTTCTGAGGAATCTTGTCCTTGCAATTTGATTTTTTCATATCAGATGATTCTGAGAGCAATTATCATGTACACCGCAAAACTTGTTTTCTTCGAGGCGCCGGAGATTGTCTGTATCTCACTCAATTTTTAATATTTTTGGATGAAAAATCCACACATGTTGTTTATATGTTGCCCTATCACATGCAAAAAACAAAATTCAGCTGAGACTATCCGTATCGCCAATAAAAATTCTTTACGTAAAAATTCTTTACGATTTTGCACCGAATTAACTATAAATCAAAAATTAAATATAGAACATTTACTTTTTGTATATAAACATCAGCTAAAGAATGATTGCTTTCCTACCTTATTCATATCAGATTGATATGCTATACTCATTGTTACTATGTTATTATACCCTTGCAGAGGGTATTATAATTTTGGTAAAATATGTGCAACGCAGTGCAGGAGACATCTCCGACCCTATAAAGTATATATATTCTTGATCAGGATCGCGTCCTGAGTTGATATAAGCATGTCCGTCTGTCCGTCTGTCTGTCCGTCTGTCTGTCCGTCTGTCTGTCCATCGGCCTGTCCGTCTGTCTGTCCGTCTGTCTGTTTCTACGCGAACTAGTCTCTCAGTTTTAAAGATATCGAATTGAAACTTTGCACACACCCTTCGTTCCTTTGCACGCAGTATATAAGTCGGAACGGCCGGGATCGGCCGACTATATACTATAGCTGCCATATAACTGAACGATTCGAAATGCCATAACTTTGGTGTTTTTAAAGTTAGGAAGTTTAGAATTTTTAAGGTTTTTATTTTTGGCCAAATCATCAATCCGACCTACCAAATTTCAAAAGGATCGGCCGACTTTATCGTATAGCTGACATATAACTGAACGATTGGAAATGCCACTCTTTGGTGTTTTTAAAGTTAGGAAGTTGGGATTTTTAATGAGTGTTAAAAATGCATCATATGAATAATATTCCTAATTTAAAGTTAGGAAGTTGGGATTTTTAATGAGTGTTAAAAAGCATCATATGAATAATTTTGGAGAATATAATTTACAGATATATACATACATATTCTGCAAGGGTATATCACCTTCGGCACCGCCCGAAGTTAGCTTTCCTTTCTTGTTATGGTATTCATTTCGTATCAGTTTATAATTATTTTTATTTTAGGGTGTTATGTTTTTTCTAGTTCCATAGGCAACTTTATTTCGTTTTGGTGTAAAATTTAAAAACCTGATTTATTTTATAAAATCTTTTTATAATTTATTAACCCTTCATTTCGTACCATAATAAATCGAAATCAAAAAGATTTGCAGCCTTTTTATATTTTTCAAAGACTTTTCGAAATAAGATTTGATATGCAAATCATGCCAATGTTTCGTATCCGAGGTGTGTTCAAAAAGTACCCGGAATTTTTAAATTACGCCGGTCTGGAGAGTCAGGTTGTAATTTATAATTATACCCGTTACTCGTAGAGTAAAAGGGTATATTGAATTCGTGCAAAAGTATGTAACAGGTAGAAGGAAGCGTTTCCGACCCTATAAAGTATATATATTCTTGTTCAGGATCACTAGCCGAGTCGATCTAGCCATGTCCGTCTGTCCGTCTGTCTGTCCGTATGAACGCTGAGATCTCGGAAACTATAAAAGCTAGAAGATTGGCATTTTGCATGTAGATTTTAGGAGCTCCTACGCAGCGCAAGTTTGTTTCAAAATGGTGCCAAGCCCCCTCTGACGCCCACAACCCACAAGCTGTGGCCACAGTTTTGATGCTATTATGAATATTTTTAATTGATATGTATTTGTTTCGTAAATACCTATCAATTTGCCTAATAAAAGTTTGCCACGCCCACTCTAACGCCCAAAAACCTATTAAACGCTTAAGCCTGGCTAGCGCCTACATTTCCGCCTTTCATGGCCCGTGGTAGCGCCATCTAACGGATGACTTTGGCCAAGGTGCTCAACAGAGTCAACGTTAATTCTCGATAAGGAGTTATATTAAAGGAAATTGCGATGGTTTTCATTTGTCAATACCGAACTATATCCCAAGAACTATGCAAATCAAATCTAGTTAGCCAAATTGGAGGTCTGAGTCAAACAATGGCGTGCATATGTGTTTATGTATGTAAGCATATACAAATGTATGTACATATTTACATTGTACACAGTTGCAATTGCACGGCAAAGATAACTCCTTTCAAAGAAAGCTATTCGCTATACCCGTTACTCGTGTTGTGCAAACATTTAGACTTTAATATACATAATACTATTTAAGAATGTATGTGTTTAGCCAATATAAGTATGTATGTTTAATATTTCTAGTCAATTTATTGCACTCAAAAACATAAACATAAACACAGCTGCTGGTGCAGGACAAAAGCTGCCTGCGCTAAAGCAGCGCTGGTGCTGATGCT